AGTAAAACTGTGACAATGTGACAGGAGCAACAAACGCTCAGAAACTGTCCGGAATTTAGAGGGTTAAGACCCGACAGAGTCTCTATATAACCAATCACATCCTGCACCTCTCAGTCATACCTGTCCTCCACCTGTCATGCTTCCCCCTGCCAATTGCCGAACTCGCGCAACCAATCAGATTCAAGCTGGAGCTCCGGTGAAACCAATGAAGGCGCGGCTTCCGTCCGGCGGTCGGAGGGGATGTCGGGATAAAAACTTAGCCGTGGTGGAGAGAAAAAGTTTGGGGAACAGCAGGAGGGAGGGGACTGAGAAGTGAAACTGTAGTAATCCGATCGCGAGCATGACCGACGCCGAGGCGCAGAGCGCTCCACCTCCGGCACCGGTGGAAGAACAACCGCTGCCCGAGAGGAAAGTCATAGGTGGGTGGAGGAGCTGATCAGGCTCCAAACTTTTTAAATTGAGCCATTTCTGTCTGAATTCGTGTGCGCCTAATAAATATAAGTGGAACAGGCGATATGTTGCTGCGTAGAGTTTGCTGTCACTGATGCAAATGTTCCTTCTTTTTTTTTTTTTTTTTTTTAAACACTCTTCTCGCCTTTTCTTCTCCTCTTCAGACTAAACCCTATTTATGCATTTTTAAACCTTTTTAACCCATGAAATGCCCTTTTTTTCTTTTTTTTTTTTTTTTTTTAAATTAAAAGTATGTTTGGATAACTGTTATCTCTTCAGCCAAATTGACAAATCACTGACTCCACGGTGTGTTTCGTTGTTAGGGAGCAACACGTGTCACGAGCTTTACTCATGTTTATGTGGGAAGTCACTATTTTTACCAATGAAGTCAAACATCGACTGAGAGCAGCAACATGGAACCTGATTGTCGGAATTTATTTATTTTTTCTAAATTTCTGATTATTAAAACTGGTTTTAAGGCATGGCTGCTTTTATTTTTGTTAGGTTTATGTTTTCCTACATTTAAATGTCATGGTTCTCTGTGGTTTGTCAGTTTTGTGTGTAATTAAGAGGCTAAGGAATAATATTTGTGCGCGTGAAGACCTGACCTAAATTTCCTTTTTATCAGGTGTCGCGCGCTCGGCAAGCGGAGCGCGCGCACGCGCCCCCACAGCTGCAACTCATATCCCTGAGAAGCTAACAATTGAGCGCGTTTAGGTGGCTTTTAAATAAACCCGCTCCTCGCCAGTTTTCTTAACAATAAAGCGTTAATTTTTATTTTCCAATTCGTGTTCACCCTTTTATTTTAATTTTAAAATTTCCCCCTTTTTTTCCCGTGTTTTAAGTGCAGGCTAGTGGTTTAGCAGCTGTGCCTCGTGACCTACTAGTGCAGACCAAAGTCTTACTGTTAATGATTGATCCAGAGAACACCCTTTCGTTTTTTTTTTTCTTGTTGTAAGCGAAGCAGCTCGTTGATGCAATCAAGATAACAGTGCGTTATGTTCTTTGAGTGACTGTGCAACCTTGTTTCGTGAAACATTGCCTGGATACACAGCTCATCCTGTGCTCCTGTTGCAGCCACCGCAGTCCAAGGCACAGTGAAGTGGTTCAACGTGCGGAACGGATATGGCTTCATTAACAGGTAATCCTTCCTGTCAGTTTACTTTGGAGCATCTTGGTCTCTCACACCACTAGGGCTGTACGATTTCAAGTTCAAAAATCTTCAATATCCCCGTGGGGAAATTTTTGTGCAGCCAGCAATGAGACAGTCACTGCCACAATCACACATGCGACAACAACAACAACAGAGAAAAGACAAGACCGATCACTTGTTTAACAGGGAAATAGCAGCAGGGACAAAAGAAAATGTATATCTATTGGTCCTGCACTTTGGCAGAACATACCTGTGCCCCAGCGGAAGTAATTGGAACCAGTGGGCCAAGGGATGGCTCTGGTCTGCGGTGGTTAAACGGCCCTTGGCTAATAACCTGGTTTGATGTAGGGCTGTCAAGTTATTTAGGTTCGTCCCTGCTGTTTTTCCACACAGCCTCACAATACCTTGTCTGTTTTTAAGAGTGAGGAAGCTGAACCAGCAAATAAAAGAAAAGGTTAAAAGAGACCCAATAAAACATTCGCATAAAAGAACTGTTAACATTTGGGAGTTGAAAAAAAAACTGACATTGAGATATTTAGTTTTTTAAGACACGTATTGCAAAGTGAAAACATTCAAGAAATGCTTTATTTATATTCTTAAAAGTTGGATGAAGCTGTTCAGAACCTTTTTTGAGTGGTGTAACACAAGCAAAGGCATCCAAATGAGGTTTTTTTTGGCTTTGAATGGCATTGCACTCATCATACAGAGCTTTTGTGGTGTTTTGTTTAAATGATCAAACTACTTATGTTGTTACTTTATGCTTTTTTGTGTGTTTCTCATTCTGCTGTGCACATGTGGAGCCTGCAAGCCAATGAGTTCATATTAAAAGAAAAGAAAAAAATCTGTATCCAAGGACCTTTAGATTGGAGAAAATGATGATGTATTAGACAGTCTTCTCTTGTATGAATAAAAATGAATCTTTTTCTATTTGTATTTGGGAGGGGAAAAAAAGGTTATAGCATTATTTGCTTCACAAATTTGCCTGATTTCACATTACTTTCTGTGGTTAGACTGTGGTACATGTCCACATCACACTGTCTTTGCTGAAACAATATATTGTGCAGCCCTACACACTATTTATCTAACTTAAAGTCCAATTAACTATTTTATTTCCTGCAGGAATGACACCAAAGAAGATGTATTTGTTCATCAAGTAAGATGGGGCAATTTTTATTTTTTTGATTTAATGTTTTTATGGTTTGGTTCCCTCGTTTAATGTTACATGTGTCTCCTCAGACTGCTATCAAGAAGAACAATCCTAGGAAATTTCTTCGCAGTGTAGGAGATGGGGAGGTTGTAGAGTTTGATGTGATCGAAGCAACAAAGGTAAGCACTGGAATGTTTCCGTTAACATCACCTCAACAGTCAGAATATTTGATATTTATCGCCCCGAGCCGCGGTGTCCTCCCAGGGCTCAGAGGCAGCAAACGTGACCGGCCCGGGCGGTGTTCCGGTAAGAGGCAGTCGCTACGCACCCAACAAACGTCGCTTCCGTCGACGGTTCTACCCCCGTAGCCCTCGGCCCGATGACCGGAGCAAAACGGGTGATGGTCAAATCCCTGCCTCTGAAGCAGATGGATCGGTGGAGAATGGTGAAGGGAGGCCACAACAGCGCCGACGTAGGCCTCGCAGGCCACGACAGGACGGACAAGATGTAAGCTGGAGTCGGTAGTGTGTGTCTGCAGACCTGGAGACTGCACTCAAAGAGCCGCACTTGATGAACGTATTTAAGACCTAAAATGCTAGTGGTTTTAAAGGTTTATTCAAGACAAATTACTTCATGTCCAATTATTTATAATTTAAAAGATTTATTCCACCTAAATAGTTCTCTTTAGCGAACAAGTTATGATTTCAAATCTGTACCTACAATACTTTGTAAATTACCTTGCTTACTAAGAGTTGGAGAAACTGTACTGGGCATATTTGGATCATTATCAGGTAAAATAACAATGTATTCATATGCTGTGGCCTTTGTCGTCACTTGATCCCAAACAGGAAGGTTTGAAAGGTTGGAGAGAGGAAAAACGTATATATTTATACAATAGTAACCAAAGAAAAACATCAGGGAGATAGATTGATAGATATTAGGGGGTGTTCCTGCAGGGAGAGATGCCATTTATGTTTTTTTAAACCGTTTTCATTTTTGCCCTCTTCCTTTGTCAGGATGATGCTGAAGAGCAGAAGGATGGGAATGAAGAGGGTGACCAGCGGCCGCCACGGCGCAGATTCTGGCGTCCATACCGCAGGTAGCTTCACATCGCTGCTCAAAAATCCCATTCACCTTTCAAAAGCATTTTTACTTTTGTATTTTTAATGTGCTTTTCCCTTAATGCAGACCATTCCGCCCTCGCCCACCGACTGATCAGTCTGCAGATGGCCAGCAGGCTGCTGCTCCAGGGGAGAGCCATGAGCAGGGAGAGGGGAAGCAGGTGGAGGCCTCTGAGGGCCCCCAGACCAACGGAGAAGTCGGCCTTGGAGACGGCCAGAAACAACGCCAGACTAGAAGACGCAAGCAAAGAAACTCAGAATCATCCACCACAAAGGTATGTATAAATGTAAGCAGTAGTGTTGTAGAAAATAGTGACTTAAATCCATCAATGTATTTAGAAAAAACACTAGTCCCTATAACTTTGTGGTCTAAGGTGCATACAAAGCATTTCTATGGGTATTTGATTATGACTGTGGAGCCTTTGCATGTCATTCTGTAGCTTTCTCCCAGTTTCTCTGTCAACTGTTAATGACAAAAACACACATTTGTTAGCTGTTCAACTTTAGTAGCACAAGTTTAAAAAAAAAAAAAAAATCAACAAAACCAAAAGAACTGTTTTCTTGTGCCAGAACCCAAAATACATGAACTAGCTTTCATGTGTTCTCATGAGTCAATGATCTGGAAACTTCTAGCATATGAAGTACATGAATATATTAAGAAATACCCCTGACGGTTGCTCTTAACACTTTTTTTTTTTTCTTTTTCTCCCCCTGCTTGCACACTGAAGAATGACACAGAGAAGTCTGCCTCAGAGCCTGGTACACCACCTCAGACCTCAAAACCATCTGATATGAAAGCCGCATCAAGATCACCGAAACCGTCCCAAAAAAGTTCTCCTAAAACATCAAAATCACCTGAGGTACAGTGTTCAAACGGGATCTTAGCTGTTCCTGATTTTTATTTTCACTAATTTTGTCATGCTTCCATACGTCTCTACAGTTTCCTTCCCCTCAGCAAGCAGCAGACACAACAGTCCCAGCAACAACGGAGTGACATCGGTGAGAGGACTGTCACATGACCCTTGGCAAGAGGTGGGACCCCACACTAGAGTGGTGAAGCCCTGGGTTAGGCAAGGTGGGAGACAGGAGGGTGTTAGGCTGCACAGCTAGAGCCACATTTGCCATCTTTCGCAGAAGGTGACTGACATGAAGTGGCTGTTTTAGATAACTGATTGGAATGATGGATTTAGTAGGGATGGGAAAGATTAATGTGGCGTCTTTAAGGACTCTTATGTTGGAGACAAAATGTTCTCTGTATTCAACAAAAGTTGAACCTCTGGAACCTGAATTTCAGACCAGTATATAGGAATAGATTTCTTTACTAGTTTCAATCCCTGTGGCTCCTTTGCATTTTTATTTCTCTTTGTTTTGTTTCTCATAGGTCCTCGGGTTGGAGGACTGGACCTATTTCAGAACACATGCACTGCTCTCCCCTCCCTGCACTCCCCCATCCTCCAACCCACCTCGTCTCTCCGTCAGGCCCCACTCTCCCCCCCCTCATTTTGTCTCGTGTTGTCCTGTCTAGACACGGACATTCAGAGAGGGACGGGGTGGGAAAGTACGGCGGTACAGGTGGTGCGGTGGGTGCACATTTAGAAATTGAAAGTACATCTTTTAAAAAAAAAAAAAAAGGGAAAAAATGGACGATATGCTTGGTAGCCCAGTTATTCCAACCACCCTTTAAAAAAAACAAATTTTCTTTACTTGACCAGATGGGGCTCATCAAGTCGTTGAGAAAGGAACCAGCCTTGTTTTTCATTTAGTGTTTTAATTTGGTTGAAGAGGGGAACCCCAAGCAGGTGTGCAGCTGGTGGTGCATTCTGGGAGTCAGTTTAGTTCTGTCACCACCTCAAATCAATTCTTGAAACATGCTACTCCCTTCATCTCCTCAGTTAAGATGGATTGATGAAAAGAAACTTTATTTCCTTTTTTTTTTTTTGTCTTACTTATTTGTGTGGGCTTTTCTTTGGAGGGGATTATGTGCAATGTCAGTACTTAAAATGCTAATTAATAAATCATGTTTGCAAATCTCAGGATTCTTCGTGTCTGATAATATCCAGGGTGCAAATCAGAAGGTATTTAAAATATGCTTCATATTAAGCACAACTTAAAGATCTAGTTAGAAATTCTTGATTGCCTTCAGGCGTTTTCAGCCAAAGTACAGTATTTTCTGATTACACGAACACAGCATCAATATTCACTCTACAAATAACAGGTCCTCTCTCAGCAATCTCTATACATTTTCTTCAGAATGTAGTGATACACACCGTTAAAGAACAAGATGGCAAACGGCACACATGAAAGATGCCAAGAAAAAATACACAAACTGGATACAAAATTAATCTACAAGATCTACTCTTCACAGGCAGCCCCTGTGACCGCACGTCTCACTTGAGTATATCAGGCTACCGTTTACAAAACCAAACACCAGTTGGAGTGCATAAAGAATTTAGACCCTCATACTTTATCAACAAGCAAACAACACGCTATATGTACATGTGACGTACCAAAATAAATCTTTTAAAGGAACATTTCTGCAGGATGTGCAATGGGTTGTTTTGGGATCAGAAAGGTGGGAACACACATGAATGAAAGTCCAGTGGGGCAATGAAGACTCTCTCCAGAAGGTCAGTCATGGTTCACCAGTGACAGCTGTCATGCTATTATGGGCCTTGGATGCTGATTCAATGCTTAAGTATAAATGACATGTTTGTTTTTTTTTTCCCCTGCATGTTCTAAATGGTTATGTCCGATGCAAAAAACTGCAGATAAGTTTTGGCAAATTCCCTTAAAGTCTACACATCAGTTCAACCGGGCCATTTTTACGCAATCTTTTATCATGATAAATTTTAACACTTGCAGTTGGTACCAAAAAGGATTTCAAACCCGAAGTATTTAGACCCAAATCCATCCATCCATCATCTAGACACCACGTCATCCTCTGTAGGGTGTCAGGAGGGGCTGGAGCCTATCCCAGCTGACTTTCAGGCTAAGGCAGGGTACACCTGGACAGGTCGCAGGTCACATTCACCCCAAAGGACAATTTAGAATCACCAGTTACCCTCTGCATGTCTGTGGACTGTGGGAGGAAGCCGGAGCACCTTGTGAGAACCCACGCAGGAACCGGGAGAACGCTCCACACAGAACAGTCCAGGGATCTTCTAGCTGTGCCCTATTTTACCCAAACCCCACTAGGTAAAGTTCTAAAATGAAATGTCATCTAATAAATCTCATTTAGGTGTGTTTACTCATCTTCTAGTGTGTTCCCACCTTTGATAAGCAGGCAAACTGTATTAACCTCATAGCTGTTAATCCTACTTGTTCCTGTACCTCCAAACTTTGAAAACTTTGGATCTCTTTTGTTTATAAAGTGCAGGAAGTCTCTCCGTCTCCGTCTGTCAATATTGCAACCGCGTGCATCGCCATGGAATAATAAAAAAAACCCTATCACATCAGCAGTCAATGCCTTCACAGTCCAGACATATCATTCTTATGTGCATCATATTCCTTGAAACTACAACAGTCAACCCCAAATCCATAGGTTTGTAGCCCTTTTTCAAGACAGAATTCATCACCATGTATTGCTGTGGCACCAAACTGTCACACACTTAACACTGCTTTGGCACCACAATCTACAACAATAGACCTCAATATACATGTCAGAAAATAAAAGTTTGGGGCCAGGCCTGTATATACAGTTCATCTCATGTTGTACTCAAGTTTAAGTTTTCTTCAACAGGGACTCCTCAGTTGATGCTTTCCTCTCCCAAGTAGTCCAATTCAGTGCTGGGCTTGTCCAGGTCCATGTCCATATCCATCATCCCTCCTGCTGAGTGCTGGTGGAAGTTGGCTGCGATCTGGTCAAACGTTTTACCCCGCGTCTCCGGCACCCGGAAGAATGTGAAGATGAGGAAGAAAAGGAGAAGCGCTGCAAAGATCAGGAAGACATATGGCCCACAAAGGTCCTGGGAAAAGAAGGGAGGCAGGTCAGATTATAAGAAATAGACATCGGGCATTTGCAAAATCACTAAAACAAGAAGGTAGGATTGTCATAAATACTCACAGCAACATATTGGAAGCCCATGCCGATAATGAAGTTGGCGGTCCAGTTGGAACAGCCTGCTACAGCCATGGCAGCTGGCCTTGGACCTTGAGAAAACAGCTCGGCTACAAAGAACCACGGGATGGGACCTGGGCCCACCTCAAAGAAGGCCACAAAGCCGAAGATAGCCAGCATGCTCAAGTAGCTCATCCCAGGAACACTGTCCTGTCAAATGGAAGGCAAGATGAAAATCTGAAGCTTGTAGAGTCTAGTAAATGTAGAAAAAAACACTTCTTTCATGCTTGGATCTTCAGGGCACTCACCAGTAAAGCGAGAGCAATGGTCATGACGATGGCACATATGCACATTCCACCCAGTCCTAACATGTGGAGTGTCCGTCGACCCATCCTCTCGACGAGGAAAAGCTGTAAAAAAAGATAAAGAAAACAGGGTCACAAACAGGCTGATCTCCTCAGTAGCCAACTAAGACATACAGATCCTACTTTAGTTCATTTAGATAGGTACTCAGTTTCTTTGTAGGGAAATATGAGTCTTTGTCATGAATATATTTGTCATTGGCTAACTGGCACTAAACAACAACAGCTGCTGAGACTAATGGGAATGTCATCAAACTATTGTAACTAATTTTTGATTTGATGATGACACTGGATGAAGCACCAGCAGATCATCAGAATTATTCCAGCGCTTCTTAAAGAGGATATGAAAGTGTTTCTTTTTAAATTTACCAGCGATCGATCCAACAGTTTTAGAGACATTTCACTCAACTATTTCCTACATGACGTCCATTACGGTGCAGTGATTAAAACCTCAACTAAAACCACATTATTCACAATAATTATTCCAAACCAGCAGGACAGAATCTCTGATGCCTTTTCCTGTATTTAAGTGTCATCATGTTACTATTACAATTTGCTACCATGAAAAAATATTGAATCCAGATATGTTAATCAATCAAAAGTCAAAACAATTACAAATGTTTAGACTAGATGACACGTCAATCCAAATTAATTTGATAACATACAAGAATACAACTGTGACGTGGTATGCAAACTGCACGCTAGACAAAAATACATTACAAACTTTCTTGGTGATATTTATTTGTTAAAAAGTTTACCTGTAAATTATTAATATAAAAAATGTATGGAAGTTTCGCTTCTCCTACTTCAGAAATCTCAACTTCAGTTACCGATCTTTCCGATTTTATTCCCATCTATATTCTGAAGCTTTGTACACAGGGGGTTTGGTGATATATCATTCATAATCTGATTTAAATTACATTTTATTCCTAAAAATATGCCTATTTTTTTCTCATGGTTGACAGGGTTTTTTTTCAGATTTATGGAGTGATAAAAAGAAATACCTAAATCCTCATTGGTTAGAAAAAGAAAAAAAAGTAAAAAAGAAAAACCTTTCAGTTTAATTTATCCACAAAATGCAAAAACTTTCATTTTACATTTTAGAAGTTTATACAAATTAATACATTTTTGATGAGGAAATACTTTATTTGCATATTTATATATAATGTTTTAGAATACTTTTACTACAGTAAAAAAAAAAAAAGTCTTAGTCTAAATAATCAACTGGATAAGTTTCATTGTGATATCTGTTATTTATTTATTTATTTTACTTTATTCTCTTCTTGATACACGCTATAACATAAAATCATGCTTTCTGACCCATTTAATGACATTGAAACATCATGACTTGTCAAGCCAAACTTGGCCTACATGGATGGAGGAATGTCTGATAAGCAGCCACAAGAAAAAGCATGATCAGCCTCTTCTTATCTTATTTGCTCATTGATAACGGTGTTAAACAGTAATCGAGACACACTGTGGCACACAGCAGGACTGTGGTCTTTATCGCACTAAATTGAAAAAAGATATTGAATTCAGATTTCCTGTAACAAAGGAGGGACATATCAAAAAGCAGAGATGGTAGCACGTTGGTGTAATTTCTCACCGAGACCACGGTGAAGGCACAGTTCACTGCTCCAGCTCCTATGGTGGCATAGACTGGACTCTGGACTCCTGCCTTCATGAAGATACTGGTGGAGTAGTAGAAGATCTGCCAGAAGGGTAAACAGATTTAGGTTAGGTCAATATTATACTGCACTTCCCTTTTCTTTTTTTATAATTAGCTTTTTTCTGGATTTTAACTGTCACTGTGATGCAAAATGTAATGAATCCTGTAATTTTCTGGTTGTGGTTGAGCCAAAAGGAAACCCTGACTCACTGCGTTGACCCCAGACAGCTGCTGGGAGAGCTGCAGCAGGATGGAGATGACGATGGGCTGGCGGTAAAGCGACGAGCGAAAGAGCTCTGGGATGGACACCTTCCTCTCCATGTCCATCCTCCTCTTCTCCTCCTTCATCTCGGCCAGCATGTCGCCCACTTCCTGCCTTCCTGTTAGCCTCCTCAGGCCTGCACCAAGGGGCAAACGTAAGTAGTGAAAAGTATGTTTACCATGTGTTTTTTGTAGCTTGCAAGAGAGTCTATTTTGGCTCCTTGTTCTCTTTTGAAGGAGCTTTCAGGGCCAACTTAATGTCTTATAGACTTTATACATTCAACCCCATAAATGTAACATAATGTGATCCAAGGGTACTTTAGTGTGAAGAAAAAGTATTTTCTAGTTAGATAGTATTGTACACTTCAACATCATTCCTTACTTTTTCTACAGTGACAGTCTGAGTTCCAGTGCAATACCTAAATAAATTATCCGCCTTAAGGGAGTAGTTCATTCCAGTCCTACTAGCTGATTGAAACACAGAAAATGTTTCTTCAATACCTCCATGTGCCGCCTAGTCCAACTATTGCAGCCAAAACTACAACAACAAGTGCAGTTGCTGAGGAAACAATAGTGAATAATGACAAATGTTGGACCCCTGAACCTGCACATTGCTGAATCAGTTTAACCCTTCTAATATTTTGGGGGTTAATTTGACCCCATTCGATGTTTAACTAAATAAGTGCTTGACATATTTTTTTCTGTTTTATTTAAAGGAGCATTTACACATAAACTTGGGAAACAATTTTAATTCTGATCACTTTCTGGAGGTTTAAATTAAACCCAAGGATGAAAAATGTCAGTAAACTTGAAGGTAATAGGAGGGTCGACACTGTCTGGATATCTTAAAGGGATGCTCAAGCATTTTCTCTTCAGAAAATGCTGACAAGAGACCCATTTTAAAAAAGAATCATTAAAGCTTAAGTGGCGGATCTCCTGACATTCAGTTTCTCATATGCCAAGCTCCAAAAACACTGGATCCTACAAGTCTCATAGCACAACAGATTGCCATTAAAAACCTAAAAACCCACTTTTTTCAATCAAAGTTTGTATTGAATGTGTTCTGTTAAAAATGTCGACTCCCAAGTAGGTAAGATAACCACGGTGACACAATAATGGCAAATCCAAGACCTTAAAGGTGTCTCTAGAACACATTTGAATACCCAACTCACCACTCTTGGCATGGTGTTCCTGACACCGGACAATGTAGAGGAACCGAGGGCTCTCCGGACAGAAGGGCAGCAGACCCATCTGAAGCACAGTCGGCACCACGGTTAAACCCAGCAGAACGGGCCACAACTCCTCACTGCCGAGTAAGGACTCCAGACCAAGGATCTGCACAGGAATACATTTTATTGCTATTATTTTTTAACCAACTATAAAAGACGGGACTCGAAACATGTATTGTTATTGTTACAACATGGAGGTGAAGGAAAATAAGCCTTCAAGATGTGTAAGCAGGTTTAATAAATCTGGTCCAGAGATGCCACAGAAACACATTTGTTAAGGACAGGAGATGAAATATCAGGAGATGCGAGCAGAGTACAAAATAAGGAATGTTTGTCTCGGTGGCAGCCACACCTGTGCTATGAGAATTCCAGTGACTATAGCCAGTTGGTGCAACGTGCCCAGCGCCCCTCGAAGACTCGTAGGTGCTATCTCCCCCACATACATTGGCGTCAGGCCGGATGCCAACCCTGCACAGAGCAGAACACATTCCAGTGGCTTTTCTTTTCATTTTTTTAAAACTAAAAGACAAAGAGACAGAAAAAAAAAAGAAACAAAACAGTGGATGGCTCACCACAGTAGGCACCGATGATGAAACGTCCAAGGATCATCATTTCAAAGGAGCGACAGAGCTTGGACAACCCCATCAGACTTCCACCCATGAAGGCAAACATGTTGTTTATGAGCATGGCTTTCCTCCTGGAAGAAACACAGACGAGCAACTTTGGAATGATGCTGCTCACATGTTGAGTATCCTCCATTTTATTTTGGAACCTGTCTCCTTTTTTCAGAAGTACATGACAATATAAAAGACATAGACGATGTAGCATGATGGCATGTTTCTTGCACTATTTGAGCCTCCAGAGGGCAGTGTCATACAGAAATTGTGAGGGTTTTAGGTAGACTCCTAAACCTTGGTGGGAAAAAAGGGCATGGTTGTGATATTTGAAGATAATTTGATAGCAGTGGTGCTTTTCATAGCAGACTGATTGAGTGTCATATATACCTTTTGTATATTTCAGAGACTCTTAACCTGACACTACCTCTAGTTCTTTACTTAAAATGCAAAAGCACAGGTGAGACAGGTGGAGAAGATCAGCAAATGTCAAATAACGATGGAGAAAATACAAAATATGGCACATTAACACGTTGAAACATTGAACATTTGGGTCACACGAGTGGCAGAAGTAGGACTCACATCTTTAAGTGGAAGTAGAAGCAGCAATATTACAATTTAAAACTGCTCAGTTTAACTTTAAAGTATTTACATAGAAGTATTCACGAGATGCTAAGATAAGCTTTTATTAGTATTCTATTTCTTTTTGTTATACTATTATACATTTAGATGCAAGCAGATATTATAGCTGATACATGAACTATTTTATTTCGTTACATATACTGCCAGGTGGTTTGATGTACTGCGTAACAACGTACTGCATTTTAAAACATCTATTATGCTCTAATAGTTTTTAAGTCATAATCTGCTGTAAAGTAACTGTCAGATAAAGGCAGCACAATAGTTCCTCTGCAATACAGTGAAGTCGAAGTTGCCTAAAATTTAAATTCTTAAGAAGATATCTTAGAATTGTAATGAGTACATTTACCTCAACCTAAGTGCAACCTTTACTAAAAAGCTTAACAAAACACATAAAGACTTCTTAAAGATTCCATTAGACATGTTTTAAGGCATAAAAAGAATCTGATTCGTACAATAAGTTGATCTTTTTTCTAACACAAAAGTTCAATTTTTTTACTCATTGAAAAATTCAGAATCTATTGATATGTAAAACGTTTAAATAAGTTTAAATACTGAACAGTGTGTCTGCCACTTCAATGAATAGTCTATTCTTAGGGTGTGTGTGCTGAGGGTTTCACTTTCTTTGTCTTTTTATTTTAAGTCTTAAACCGCTATTTAAAATAACTCTTTGCACTACGCATGAACGAAGCCTTACACACATGATTCTGCACAGTGAAGGTTAGACACTCAAGTGAAGCAACATGAATAAGATCTTTAGTGGGAAAGGAGTTTAAATGACAAACAAAACCTGCTCCCATCTTTCATTTTCCTCCTCCAGTCTGTTTTAGATCTACAATTAGGTCTACTGTGTTCGAGGGGACATCTGTCTTCACGGGAGACTTGTGTTGCGTCTAAATCACTTTGACCTCAGAGGTCTTCACCGGCCTCATCAGTGACAGCTGCTTTTTTTAGGAAGACCTTGTCCTGAGTGTACCCACGCTGATTGCTGCCTCCCCCCGACCCACAATCCTCTACCTCTGTCCTGACCCAGTGCCGCCAGTTGTTAAGATCCCCTTTCAGTCAGTGGAAGCTGTGGGTGCAGTGTAGGTTACAGAGGGAAACTGGGTCAATGAGTAACATCTTGGCCAGAGCTTCCCCTGAATGACTGAGAGTGGACACTGGGATCCATTCTGGATTTAAATAGAGGTGAGGAAGAGACACTGATGTAATTTGATGGTCCGAGTCAAAGATAGCAAAAGTTAGGGCATAATGTGATAATTTTATCTGGTGCATAAGCCTTTCTGTCCTAACGAAGTCTAATACCTTAATCCTTTTCTATTTTATGTCATCATTTTAATATATATATCCTTCTTCATTATTCCACTCAATTCACCAAATGCACCACACCTGACCTGACAGCTTGATTTTTCCATTATTTTCTTTGTACCAATTTGCGGAGCAAAATGAGGGGAAAAAAACAGCCTCTTAGGGTGAAAAATAAAGTTCTTTTGACCAAATTTGCTCCATCATATAACAGGTTTGTAATATTACATCGAAGCAGCGCTGAACCATTGAAGACCCCATGTACATATCAACGAGCCTGAAAATTTACTGGACTCCAGCTACGTTATTTGTCAAGTTATAGCACTTCAAACATTGCCCCACAGATTGGCGTGAAGAAAACAACGCAAAAAATCAACATGACCCCACCCCTCTTTAGGAATTTTTAACTCAACAACTAATGTTACCTATGATCCCAGATTTTACTTGTTTTACTAAATACCATACGTATGCGCAGACTGAATTGAGGTGGAATGACCCATTTACTTTGTGTAAAGCACCAGTTCCACTGGCCCAAAACAGTCTGAGAGCATAATACTACCACCTCCATGCTTGGCGATAAGCATGATGTTCTTGGGGTTGAGGGCCTCACCTTTCTAAATGTACGGTATGCACTTACATAGCACCTTTTTAACCTGAGCTTGGTTCCATAAAAGTGCTTTACAATAGGTTTCACATTCATCCATTCAGACACACTCACACGCAAAGCTGCCATGCAAGGTACTCATCTTCCATTGGGAGCAACTTTGGGTTCAGTGTCTTTCCCAAGGACACTTGGACACATATAGAGGCTGGGGATTGAATTATGACTCGTGGACAACTACCACTACCACCTGAGCTTTGGTTTGAGCACCTTTTTTCCTCCAAACATATTCTATCATTGTGGCCAAATAGCTCCACTTTTGTTTCATCTGACCAGAGAAGTTTCCTCAAGAAGGCCTTTTCCTTTTGCATGCGATCAGCAGCAAACCTCAGTTGAGCCTTAAGGTTCCATGTCAAGAGGAAGCTTCCTTCTCTATTCTAAAACATACTTGACTGTGGACACTGAGGCTTTTAATTCATTGGTGATTCTTGGTGAACTCCTGACCATCTTGACCAACTGTCTCTCAGAAGCAGGGGATAGCTTGCTTTTTCTGTTTGATCGTGGCAGTGACACAACTGTACCATGCACTTTATACTTAAAAACAATTGTTTGCAAAGATGATTTTGGCATGTGTAGCTGTTTGAAAAGGCTCCAAGTGACCGACTTAAATGATTCCTCAGACTTTCCTACTGTCGTCTTTGTGGCTGAGTCCAATGAGTGCATAAAATGGGCCCTGTATAAATTGGCTCAGAGCTCAGTCACCAGCTGTAGTCAAATGTAATCACTCACAAGACTTTAAGAGGCTTAGCAACTAAGAAAATTTGATTACCACAGCTTTTGACATCACCAAAACTGATATTTGAAGTTGCTGTATGTATATTTTTGACTCAGCAGATTTTGTCATATTTCCAGATGACCTATATTAAATAAATCTAAAGAACTACAATGCATGTTTGTATTTTTGTGACAAAGACACATGGGTTTCAATGGAATACAGGCAGACAGTCCAGCACACTGTACCAGCTTGGAAGGCACATATACAGACAGCGTACACCGAAAGGCACAACCAAGTGGCTGGGAAAGTGTACAGGAACATGTCTGCCTAGTATGGATTAGAAGTCCTGAGGTCCTGGTGGGACACAACAGAGCCAAGATCCTGTAGGACTTCAAGTTCCAGACTGACAAGGAGGTGAGGTATCGAGAGGTTTGAGGGGCACAGATGTGGAAGATGAATGCCTGGGGCGTCTCATACAATGTTCAGGTACCACAGAGGACACAGGACAACGTACACCCTTGACACAACTAGAGATAAAGTTTCAGCATGTGACATTTCATGCTCTCCTACCTGCCCAGCCACTCAGACACAAAACCCACGCAGGACGAGGAGAGCATGCCGCCAATGGAAAAGATGGCCACGGACAGTGACCAGAGGGAGGTGAGGGTCCCTGCTGGGATAGGCTCTCCATACCGGTGCACCCATGTAGCGTTGTAGTCCGCCTCAATGATCTGCAGAGGGCGCAAAGATAAGTAGATGTAAGTAATGAGTGAATTGGACCTCTCTGGGAGTGAACAAGAAGAGCATCTTGCTAAAACAATCTGCATAAAAAAAGCAGGTGTGGCATTTAAGGCTTGCTGTAAAGGTAACTTGCATCCAGGGCTTGTGAAACAAATCAATAGCCAAGGTATTAAGTTATTGTCGGATTACATAGGTCTTAATTTCAAAAACTGACAAGGATTACAATATTTTATCATCTAATATTTACCTTTTTTGCTTTGTTTAATAAATGGAAAAAGGGAAACTACTCTCTCCGTAACATACAATGCATCAGTTGATTATGCTGGAACATAATCAGTGCATCAGACACAGCAAATACTCAGCAGCATCTTGCTAAAACAACTCAATTGTCATGTCCAACAGAATTAACTGAAAATACCACTCATACAGATACAGCAGCTCAGCTTCTATTTCGGTGTCTCTGTCAAGCCAGGTTCACAGCAGACCCCTGAATACCAGCAGCCGAGTCAGAACCTGACTTGGCCTATTTCCATTCATCTCCCTTAGTGACTGTAAGTCTATTATAACATACCGAGCAGCACCGCCTGCTGCTAAGATTACATACAGATATGTGTAACTAACTGACAGTATTAAGCCTTTTTGTGGGGCATCCTTCAGTCTTGACAAAAGAGTGTAACGCAGATGACACTTTGGAAGCTCATGAATCAGTCTAGATACATTCTTTACATGCAGTACCCAAGCGTGCCACCATACTGGAACACCAGATGTGGTTGCAATATGAGCAGCAATATAATTTATGGTTGGAGCAAGTCAGGTTTTTAAAAGTCATGTGCCTCCATCTATATATATACACACACACACACACACACACATATACATATAAATACAGTGTTTGCATTTGAAGGCTCACTATGAATGAACAGTGCCAGGTTTGTATTCAGATGTGACAGAAAACTAATCATGCATCCCCTCCGTCCTCATAAAGCAGACACAATTTCCCTTTGTTGTCTGTTACACTGGACATATTTTGGCAATCCCGTGTTTCCGTGAGGAGGGTGTCGTCATTATGTTGACACAGTTGACAATCCACTCCACCCTGCTTTTTCTGCGTATCCCCTTGAATGCGAGCATTAGACATGTCTTCTACTTTAAAAGTTTATTTTCAAAACATTACCAAGCAGCATGGCAGGATGTTGTAGGTAGGAAATAATTATTACATGTCATTGTGTTAGCATCTTTTTTTCTACTTTTTTCCTGCAAACGGGCCCTCCTTTGGCACGTTCATGGCCAGATCTGACCATCATCTCTATGATCGGTGATTTTTCTTTTACCTTCTGAGGTGCATTAATGACACCGATGTTGTAGCCAAACTCTAGAGATCCTAGGACAGCAGTGAAGACTGACAGAGCAAGGGTTCCAGTCACTGTCTGGAATAGAAACAGACACACAAAGAGAGGTGAGTATCATATTAAGGCTTTCAGAACAGTGAATAAAGCTGAGAAGTGGCATAGCTGTAATTATGGCGAATAACAAGAGAGCCTATAGGATTGGTTTTGTTACACACTCTTATCCCTGCTCCAATAACATCAACTATATATAACTGTGATCCTGATGAGAGACAATCTCTTCAGTGCCGACCATGACTTTACTGGCTACTTTACTGGTGACGCCTGAACTTTAGCTTCCCTCCAGTTTCCCATCAGGCCAGTGGCACCTGTCTCCACGGTGACAGACGAGATGACCTTGGGGATATGAAGTCTGCGCCTCCAGTAAAGTGTGCATGTATCTCAAAAGTGAGCCATCTTGCAAACAATGTTATTTAACATTAAGTGTTTGAAGCCTCACTTGGCATTTCATGCTTTTGGAGTATTGAGAGATTTGTAAAGTATTTTAAGGACTGCTAGATAAATAAGAATACAGAGGCATCATTGCAAGGTTTAAAGAAATGTTGTCGTTTTGGTGACACGTGCCTTTAATTTGGTCACAAAAATATGATGCAAAACATTTTCTGGTCAAATGTAGACTTTCATTTGTGTGGGGAAACACTTGATTAAAGTGTATTATCTCATTTTATACAACATTTAATGATAAAATATGAATGCTGTACATCATGTATACATTTTTATTTTCTATTGAAGAAATATTGATCCTATAATTCTACTTTTTTTTCTTTTCTATGGATCATTCAGCAACGTTTAACCATTTGTAACTTGTCCAAAGTAAGTCCATAATACATCTTGACCTTGCTATGTTGAGTCTCGAGATAAGTGCTGTTTAGTATTCATGAACCAAAACAAAAGGGTGTGTGTTTGGGACTGTGTGTCCTTGCAGCAAAGGTAAAGGACCAGAAGCAGCTACTTGTGCTTTATTACACTTCATGGTGACTGCATTTCACTGCATGCACAGTTGAATGCTCAGTAATTCATTTACTTTGCACTTACCATGAATTAATCATACGTGTTGTTATTAACGGTTAAGATACAACAGATGATCACGTCTTCCTGTGACATCCTCTTGAAATCAAACCTTCCACTGATCTGTTTATACTAAATATAAGAACCTATATGGTGCATTTGCTTCTTTTTTTGTTTCAGTTTTCATAATTAAGGAATCGCTTTCATTAAAACTTCTGAGCAAACACACGCCTCAAACCCCTTGAACATCAACAGATCAGAGTGCAGACACTGCCCACATACTGTCTCCTGCTAATTGTCAATGGAGCAGCTGCAGAAAGTGTTGCCTCAGTGGCATCATAGAAAGCCGTCTGCTCTTTTTTGTTTAAAGATCATGGAATGCTAAATTATGCACAATGGAAAGGAAAAGCATGGTTTAAACTGACACTCACGTCTACCTGACCGAGAAAGTATTTCTCCAAAAGAGCTAGGGGAGCTTTGTTTTGGACTTTGTGGCATTGTTTATAAGGGTGGTGGAAAGGAACCAGTCAAACTAGATGGCCACAGTAGTAAGCTGTGACCCTTAAACTCAGGTATTTAATTGGCCAAGGTCACCACACAGGACTAAAGTAGGCTAAACTTTTTATTTGTTTATTTTATTAAAAAAATAAAAACAAAAATTAACCCATCTATTGTTAGTTAGAAATGCCTTTATTAGACTCTAGTGCAATAAAGGCCATTGGAGTTGATATTTTATAGATATTTATGTTGTATACTCGAGATATTTCTTACCTTTTCTTATTTTTATTTCATCTTTTCTTTAAAAAAAAAATGTTCATATCATTCCTATATTCAAGTTTTATGGACTGAAAAATCATTGAGTTTGTCCTTATTTGCTGATCTACACGAGACCAATTATAATTCTGAAAAGCTAAGCATGCAGTTTCCTTTACAGTCTTTCTGAAGGCGATGCGTAAAATCTTTCCATAGGCGCACAGCGTTCAGGTGCGCACTTGCCAAGCCAGAACTAAAAGCTTATCCTGCAACACGCAACTCTTCTAATCACTTAAGCGATTCAATATTGTTGCAAATTGTAAAGAAATTACCTCCCCTCCGAGTTGCTGAAACCCGGCCGGCATGACTTTGGCAGCTCCAGGCACCCAGTAGCAGTCGGTGACAGATGCGTCCTGTGCCAAATGGGAAACAAGTCCCGGCTTAAAACTTCAAGTACTTTAGCACCGAGAAGATTTATTAAATCCAAAAGAGAAGCTTGATCAATCTGGCCGTTCTACAGGTTGTTCTTTTCTTCTTTGAAGTTTGTGTTGTCCGTCCAGCTGGGATAGAGTGACACCCGCATACCCACGTGCACGCCTCTCGTATACAGCGGAGAGGGGAGGTAGGGGGGGTGAGGCCACTGCTCGAGAGTGGCCCCGTGGGCTGATCTTGAGGTCCTACAACAGAGGTCGAGACGCAACCAGGAAGCTATCTTGACCTTAACTATCATTGGTTGAAGGGAAAGAACATGTGTACAAGACCGTGCAGAACAAGGCTGAGGTGATCCGGGGAGGGGGGTAATTATTATTTTTTTTAATACAGTGTGCAGGAGATGAAGCAATCAATCACAAGAGGTGTGATTACATTTTAAGATTCTTCTTTAAATCAACAGTCATTTATCAATCTCATGAGCTCATGAGCCACTTTTCAGAGGGCCAAATTTGGCCTTGGGGCCCCAGTTTTATGAGCTGTTACATAATGTCCCCTGGCCTTTAAAAGAAATGATAAAGATGTTATTATTTTTCACCCTCACATGCTGCAATTTAAGTTGAATAATTCGATTATCGATCCTGCAAAATCTTTGAATCTCCTGGTTGCACAGGTGTTGGACTTCAGGCGACCCCGAGCCACCACTATGACTCAACATTTCTTATGGGCAACGAAGAGGGGCTCGTCTTTGTCACCCTGTTTGCCATTGTCTGTCTTCCCAACCGTCATAAATCCCTTTCTATTTCAGATCACATGCCAAAGAGGTCGCACACCCCTATCCGACCCTTCCCCACACCCCCCTGTTACACAAACCCTCTCCACTCTCTCTCTCTCTGTTGCACACAACAAAGCTTAATCCTTCTCCAACAGGCGACAGGTGGATTCTAAATTTGGGCTGCGCCACCTGAGTTAGCAGTGGAGGTGTGGTCAGGGGAAGTTTGGGGATGTTAGGGGGTGTATTGTGGGAAGGGTTAGCATGGGGCGATAAGAATACAGGTCTGCCAAAGAGGCCACTGGAAAAATATCTACCCTAGATCTCTCAATAAAACGATCCAAGCCCTCCCCTTGTGGACACACCCCCACCTCACGCCACTCTCTCCTTGGAGCCTTTTCCTTTTGCTGCCCTCATACTGGGAAACAGTGATAGAACCCGACACCCCTCATCCAAAGCCAGGGCCCCAAGCACAGTCATGTGTGACTCTAACTAAATGTAGAGAAACTTTACACCATCAGAAGAGAGGCGTAGGGCCAACATAACTTAAGGGTTTATATACGCAACCAGGGGGGAGACAGACAGGATAGTATTACATTTCCAAAAAGTAGCATATGAATTGATAGAGAGGGAGCCAAGAACACTGATATAACCACAAGTACAGCTTTAGAAAATGGTGTAACGCACAACTTGGCTCACTGCAGTCACCATTTTTCACTGAAAACACGTATTCAGCAACTATTTCACAACACAAAATGTCACCTGTGTTGTTCCCAAGCTGTTGCCAGCCACTGCCTTGTTTGTCTGGCCAAAGAAGTCACACCACCACAAAGGCGCGCACATGCACGTACCATGTGACCGTCCTGTTACGCGCCCAAGTGATGTAGAGAAACAGCCTGTGTAAATACTGTTCCTCCTTGTCATGACCTGCATATGTGGTTGATGGGGGTCAGCAAGTCCAAAAAAAATCACGCGACAGTAAACCGAGTCGCGTGATGGACGGCAGGTGTTGAGCTGTGTGGTCACTTTCGGTGAAGTGGAAGGCAACCTGCGTTCACAAAAGCTTGCATCGTGAGTGCAGGAAAAAAGTTCTACAAACTATGATTTCACAAAGTTCCAAACAAACAGGTGTGCATTGGGTTGGGAAGGTTATTAATATGATCAAATTAAAATAATCAAAAAAAAAATGTGAGTGAAGCAATAAATCTAAACAAGTAGATTTATTACAAAAATATATATTTTTTGTTAATGGATCCTGCGTAAAAACTTTAAAACATATCAGAAATCTAAATTGCGTAAAATGCCCCTAAACTTACATCCAACAAGCAACAAGTGCTAAAAAAACTGCAACCTCTTAATGTGTAGATGCACATTTTGGGATTTTTTAAAAAACTTATTTTAGGAGGCATTTTTATGGATTTACTGGAAAATAGCAGCAACTATAGTGGAAAATATTAGGGGAATGGCTTCCATAAATTCTCCACTGAACCAGGAACAGTCCCTGTGAAACTGGAGCAAGGAGCTAGTTAGCTTAGCATGGTAGGAAAGAATGATAAACAGGTAACCTGGACCTGCTACCTATCCAAAAGCAAAAAGGCCCAGAACGAAGGCTGCACACCAGGTTGTTGCAAGGCTTAAACAAACAAGATATTACTTTATAAGTGTAGAGGTGGTGTTAAGTGGATCAGGTGGGCTAGTCTTTACAGTTTTGATGCTATGCTAAGCTAAGCTAACCAGCTGCTGGCTATAGCTTCATCTTTACTGAGTGGCACTGATTAGGCTCTGTGTTGGTCCTCTTGTGGTACCTTGTGAAATTCAGGATGAAAGCACATCATTTAGTCTGGCTCGAAATGGCAACACACTTTGTGACTACTGGCTTACAATAAACTCCATATTATATTGCTAGGCTTAAACAAAGAGGATTTTAAGTGGAAACAGTATGGAC